TCCAGTGGCCTGAAAAGTTCCATTTCCTGCGCGCGGGGCCCCGCGGACGGCGCGGAGCGAGCGGCGGTGCCTGAGCACAATTACACACCCGGCTGGGCCGAATCCTGCAAATCGATGGCCACGAGGGGCTGGGGGGCTGTCACCTGCCTCCCCCGACAGCCCCCCGATCCCATGGGCCAGGAAAGACCCCGCACCCCGATACACCGGGAGCCGATCTGCCAGGGGGAGCGGCTCCGCACCCGGTACACCGGGAGGGAGCGGTCCCGCACCCCGATATACCGGGAGCACCCCGATCCGCGGGAGGGAGCGGCCCTACACCCGGTACACCGGAGGGAGCGGCCCCACATCCCGGTACACCGGGAAGGAGCGGCCCCGCACCCGGTGGTGTTTTCTCGTCGCCTCCCCGCTCTCCTCTTCTCTCCTCTCCCGCGCTGTTTCCATAAATCATCCCCCGCTCTGGGATTCTCCAGGTGCTCCCGCAGCTGGCAGATCGTTACAGGAGCGCTCCCGGTTGTGTCGCTTGTAGCTATCACGAGATAAGGATGGGAGGACAGGGATGGGATGGCCGGGCCGGGCGGGGAGGGGAGGGGGCGGCGGTGACAGCCGGAGCGGCCGCAGGGACAGGAGGGACATCCCGCATCCCGCTGCGAGCTGGAACCGGGGCAGGAGCCCGCACCGGGAGCCGCTGGAGGGACCCGACGGAGCCCGGGAGGTGCCGGTGAGCCCGCGGGGAGCACTCGGTGCTGCGGGGTGTCGTGGTCCCCGCGTGGGATGGGACAGGGGGACACAGGAACGAGCTCCCCCAGCCCTGCTGCCGCCGCTCGGAGGGCGCCGGTGGCCACTGTGCCGGCCTCGGTGGCCACTGTGCCAGCTGCAGCACCCACCAGCCTTACGGGGGACCCAGGGTGGCGAGGGGACAGCCTGGCCACTGGGAATTCATTTCAGCGGGGCGAATTGAAGCTGGATTCAGGGGAAAGGGTCATTTTTAGCCCAGGGTGTTCCCAGCTCCCTGCTCTGCCCCGAGCAGCCCCACAGAGGGCTCGGCCTCGTGGCCAACGCTCCCCTTGGCACACGGTGGCCGTGGTTGCCCCGAACCACGGCAGCATCACTGCTGGACGGGCACAAAATGGGAAAATCGCTGTGGAGAGCCCAGCAGGGATGGGAGAGGCTGAACATCCCTGGAGTGAGGGAACCGAGGATCGTCCTGAGCCTCCTCACGGTGCAAACCTGGAGCACAACACCGGGACTGGGGGTGCTGCACCCCCTGAGCTCTCCAGAGACGCACCAGGTGAGAAATTCCACGGGCCAGCGGAGCACGGAGCACCCGCTGTCTCCAGGGGATTAAATGGAAAAAAAAACCTGATTGATGCCAAAATGGTGAAAGGGAGAGAGGAGCAGGGGGATCTGGGATCACCACCGGGGCTCGGGATGCCTGTGGGTCCCGGTGACTCCTCTCAGGAGTGGAATCCGTGGAATCAGCCCCAATGATCAGCTGGAACGAGCCAGCTCCTCTCACACCCCGAAATCAGCGGGATGGGATCCCACAGCCCAACAGGACACAGCACACGGAGAATCCAGGCCCAGCTCTGCATCACCACCGCTCCTCACATCAAACCTCCTCTGCACGAGAGACGGGCTCTAAATGATCCCATTCAGGCCCTGAAGCCCCACGAGTCCATTCATTAATTACTAACGACCATCCGTCTCAGCCTCCCGCCTGTCCATTCGCTATTTTTACCTCCCTATTTCCAACACCCAGCGTTAAAAAAATCATGAGCCGGGTCTCGGAAAACCTCCTGAGCGGGTCTAAAAATTCACTTTTTTGGTCAAATCCCTGCCAGGCTCTTTCTCTGGTGGTTCCCACTGCCGGAGCCCGTCACTGGCAGGAGCTGGAGGTGGCACCCACGTCCCTGGCAGTGGGTGGCATCGCTCCCGCTCCTGGCACACATATGGCCCTTATTAAAAAGCAAAATTAGTCTTTCACCCTCTGGTGGCAAAACTTCAGAGCTCGGATCAGCAGTGGGAGCCTCAATTAATTACCAGCGGGTTGTTCCTCTTGCTGCTAATTATGCTGGAATAGGCATAAAAGGCCCGGGAAGGAGCACGGGCCGCTCTGGAAAAGTTTAGGATTTAAGGGAAAAAAAAAAAAAAAGAGCAGAGGATGCTCGTGATGCCACCTCAGAGCAGCCTGTYCTGGCTTTGGTGGCCTGCCAGGATGTCACCTGTTGGTGTCCCCTTCCTGGGGAAACTGAGGCAGCAGCAGGTGAGGAGCAGGGGCTGCAAGAGCCCCGAGCGCCCACCCGCCAGGCAGCCTCGCCTCCTATAATTAAGTACTATCAACAATTGCATATTAATTAATTTAATATCCATTATTATTAATTAACAGGGTAATTAAATCCTTCCCGTAATTAACACGCCACCCAGCAGAGAGGTCTGGCTGCAGAGCCCTGGTGTACCAAGGGAGAGGGGAGCAAAGATGGACGGCCT